TGGATTTAAAAAATGTGGTACATATACACAATGGAATACTATGCAGCCATAAAAAAGAACAAAATCTTGAATTTCGCAGCAACCTGGATGGAACTAGAGTCTATAATACTGAGTGACCTCTCACAGAAACAAAGATCCAAGTATCACATGTTCTCACTCATATAATGGACCTTGAACATCCAATGTAATACTATAAGAAAATGACTGACGGTACTGGGAAACTATAGGGGGGGAGGGGGATGGGATTAACAGTCGCAAATACCTGTCTGGGGATGGGGAAACACCTCTTATCAACAGCGTGCCTGAATGAAATGTAATTGTACACCTAACCCTTAACTGTACCCCACAAAATCATAATAAAAAATATTGATTAAAAAAAAAAGAAAAAGTTAGCAGTTTAAGTGGTAGAGACTCAATGCCACAGGTGAGTAGAAGGCATGAGATAGTGAACTAGGCCTTAAAGGAGTTAGCACAATGCAGTGGCTGTTTTGGGACAGTAATTAGACCAGACCTTGAGCTGGAGGTTTCACAAAATGAAAGACAAGTTAGTTTGGGACCAGATGAGAGAGGGTATTAAATGGCCAGTGTCTTTTACTTTAGGTAAGGGCAACAACTGGCTCTTTTTCTGAATGTGACTTTATATATGTTTGCATGTGAAAAATGGTGAAAGCAGTGTTTTAAGAAAAAGAAAACAGTGGTATATATGTGATATACCAGAAAGGTGAACAGTTTTGAGGCTATTATAATACCAGGACTCAGAGAATCCTTGCTGCACCTTCCTTTTCAGTATTTGAAGGTACTGCTAGATCTGACCCAGAGATTCTCCATAAGTACATTCTTCTTAATCAAACATCTACAAAAATGGTCAGTAGATACCTTTCAGAGGCTGGGCACGGTGGCTCAAGCCTATAATCCCAGCAATTTGGGAGGCTGAGGTGAGAGGATTGCCTGAGCCCACGGGTTTTAGTTCAACCTGGGCAACTTGACGAGACCTCATCTC